TCCCTTTAACTTCATACAGCTGTTGACGGAAAATATGAAGGTCTTTAAACAAGCTCAAAGACCTGAGGCTGTCCGTACTCTAACGCTAATCTAAGCAATGACACAATAAAAATCCAATCATACCTGCTATCAGCCTGGCTCCTGAACTGGTATCTGAATTACACCCACCGTGGGCTTATAGGGTGTTAGTTCATCTTCCTTCCCATCCCTCCAAAATAAGTAAATAAGTAACAGCACACTAAGCGCAAACTATGCATTCCACACTCATTTCTTTTCTAGTTAACTGCATGTAGCTCACATAGTCCATGTTGCCAGTCTACCGCATTCTTCCTATCCCCCACACCATGTACTGTATTCTTGTGTGAAGAAGCGTGCCATCCAGTTCAAACACACGCTGCTGACCCAATTGTCTGCAATGGAGGTGGTGCTCTCATGTTGATACAAGGCCAGCATACAGACTAACGTGAAGAGAAGCCTCAGGGCAAAAGCTGCCAGACCACCTTTAATGTCTCAAGCATTCCTACTTTTAAAGGGAAAAAAAAATTAAAATCCCTAAATCGCATTGCTCATTTACGGGACAGCTCTTGGCTGTAAACTCACTAATAATAAAAGACCACTGTTAAGTTGGCTCTTCAAAAATCCCAGACACCTTATGACCTCAAGTGTTTGGTTTTGTTTTTTTTTTTTTTTAAACACAGTGCTTTTGGCCAAAGAGATGCAGAAGCACTTAGCCGGATGAATGTCCCCACTGTGTCCCAGCCTCCTTTGCCCACCGGTGAAGTGCTGCCACCTCCGGGCTGAACGGCAGCTGCCGCAGCAGCGCAGCCCAGCCCCCACCACCCGCGGGGCCTCCACGGACGGGAGCAGAGTTTAACTGGAGGGTGTCACTTCTCGGATGGGAAAATTGATTCAGTTCTGGCCGTGAGGAATACCTCGGTGATGCGAGAGAGCTTGTGTGTGGAGAGGAAAGCGGCACAGAAAAGCAATCACCCAAGATTTCGAGACAGCGTAGGCTACTACAAGGTGTCCTACAAAGCATGCAGTGGGTGCCAGCTGGCCGACCCTGACCTCCATTCTCCAGCTCAGAGGCACCCCCTCTTCACTGTTTCCCTTCCTCCAGTTTCGTAACGACCTTATTTACAAAGACGGGGGGTAAAAGGCGCTTTGGTCCTTGAGGACCTGGCAAGGGAGGACGTGCCACGTTCGCAGCTTAACATCAGCTGCTCTGGTGCCTACCCACCCATCCATCCTCGCACCACTGCTTCTGGAGAGACGGTGCATCAGGAATGGGAAGTACTTGCCAAATGAATGAAAAGTATTTTATTGATCTAATGACCTACGTTGCTTGCAAGCCTTCTGAATAATAAATATTTTTCATTTAAAACCTTCACCGCCTGCCATTTTTCTTTGTTGTGTTATATTATTAATATACCCATGAGACTATAATACAAAGTATGAGCCTAATTCTGACAAAAAACATGCTGAAAACTTCTTCGTAAAAGAACCAACTTTCATTGAAAGCCAAAGATTAAATAATTTTCTCTAGTATAAAGAGAACAGGTTAGCAGTCAGAACTCAGGATTAATATTTGTTCAGGGTCAGTAATGGTTTACAATAAGCCAGTGTGACCTCCCATAGAAAAGAGTCATTACCTTGGCACCAACAGCATGCTTTAACGTCAACATCCCTCTTGACTTTGATGCACAAGAGTGATGGTGCTGATGGCTGCGCAGCCAACTCATCCCATGACCTTAAGTAAGATGTTTTTCTTTGCCCTGCTTCAGCTTCCCCATATGAAAATAAGAACAGTAATTCCTCACCCACCCCAAGTCCACAGAGCGCTCCCAGGGGGTACACGGCCATGTCGCTGGATGCATGCATATCCCCCTGGGAGCACGCCAGACAGCTGCTAGGGAAAGCATTTCCCTAAACTTGGTTTTAAGGGTCTTTTCTGCCATGCTGAGTGCTAACAGCTGTAGGAAATAAAGACGGGGCCAGGCTCCCCACACCCCCCCTGCCCCTTTCTCTCTTTCCCTGTCCCCCACTGAAAATACAGAGAAAGTGCAAATATTTTATAATACACACTTTTATACTAGACTCAATCTGCTAGAATAGAATTGTTATGTAGAAACTGGGAAAGCAAGAGAGAGACCAAAATGATAATAAGTCCGCAGTTTGGTGTGAACAGAAGAGAATACACTGCGAAGGAGGGCGGGGAGTACCAGAGACATTATTAATAGGTTTTACCCTTGAGCTCTGGCAGCTACTTGTTCTATACACAGAGGAAAAGGATTAATCAAGCCTTGCATGTTAAAGGTTCTTTCTATGGTGTGCCAAAATATTTAAAGCAGTATATACAAAGTGTAAGCCTTATTATTATACACATTCAATGTAATCATCTTATGCTACAGTTAAGGCCAGGATGACAATAAAGTAGATTATTGTGCACTATAACCAATTCAATTCCAACACAACGGGACATGGCTTAGTCACTTGGTTCAGATCTAGTATTTGAGCTTATTTTTCTTATGCTGGGCTAAACTGTGATTTAAGAGATTTAATCAAGCTTTGCGAGATGCTTTCTTTGCTAAAGGAGGACGAACTAAAAATCTGCACCTGGCAACCCTAACAGTTTCCAATTTTCGGCTCATTTTGCTTTCTGCTTTGTGGAAATTCACCTTAGTAAATAATTGCTCCCTAAAATCACCAGGGCTGAAAGGATGACAACACGAGAGGAACAAGTTTTAAGCAAACAACTGAAGCTGAAGGATTGTACAGAGGCTACTGATGAACAGCAGCTCCTGCTGATCCCTCCTACGCCAGTTCCCAAAGGGCTAAGCAGTAGACATATGATATATTTTCTTAAATCAAATAATTACAGTAAATGCATGGGAAGCAGTGAAACTGAATACTAGGTCAAAGCTGTAGGTCACCAGCAATATATAGCTTAAACACAGCAAGGCTGCCACAATTTCTTTATGTCACTGGCCTAGACTCAAAGGCAAACAAAACGGTGCTCGGCAGCTGACTGGCTGATTGCAACCTTGCTCAATAAGGCTCCAAAGACCTACTGTGCCTCTCAGGTAGAGGTGGGTTTTACTAGTGACTAGAACTTAAAATCTATGATTTGCAAAATTTGGAGATTTAAGGTAATCTCATACCTTCAGACTACTAAAGCACACAGGAAAAAAGAAATCCCCCTTCACCTGACCTTAAATTCCAACTAAAAGCAGAAGTGGGAAAACCAAAGTGGAAATAAGCATTAGAAGCATTTCCTTTTATTTTACAGGGCCCAGAAGCAGCACAAACTGAAGTCGTTACACATACCTTTGGATTTCCTATTGTGAATATCCTTCCAGGTACGTCATGAAAACCACCTACTTCTGCACCTCAGTTTATTCAAATTAAAAATCCCTCTTTAAACCTGTTACTGTGCACAGGCCATACCCAATCACTCACTTTCTTCTGCTACGATTTTCACTTGCTGAGCAAATGGGCTCTTATGATGGAAGGTGCATCTCTGTCTTTTGGAGATGCTTGCACTCAAAACAGTTAAATTTCATGGGACTGGAGAACAACCCGACAAAGAGTCTGATAGCAGGTCATTAGGGTTAGAAGCAAGAACAGAGAGAGAGAAGAGAAGAAAGAAAAGAACAATACATGTTGCATGTTAGACAAAGTGGCATCTGGCTCTCCCCAACACTTACAGTCTAGAAAGTAAGAAGACATGAGCTCTGAATCCAAAGGCGGGGAGGGTGGGGGTGGGGGTGTGTGTGGTATAAAATCAAGTGTTAGGGTTTAAATTACCAAAACCTACCCAAATCCAGCCCATGTAGGATGTCCTCTGCAGTAAATCTGGAAATGCTCATTTCCTTCACCTGCTGAATTATACTTAGCTCTTGCTCCTCAAAGGGTCTGTAGCTTCCTCAGCTGGTGCTTTGACCTGTGTTTCCTTTTAATTTCCCCCTGGAACCTACTGCTTCTGTCTCACTTTTGATTCATGGTAAGGTTTTACAGTCATACCTATTCGCATCTCAACTCCACTGAGACCTGGAGACTTTAGTATTTTGTAACACAGTAATCACACTTCATCCTGACAAGACCCCAACAACTGTTAAGTGTCAAATATTTAATCAATTAATGAAAACAGCTTTCATCTCAGGCAGAAATTAAAAGTGGTCAGAAAACTTGGCTCTGCTGCCACTGTAGAGGGAGTCTGGCTGTGACTTGCAGGACACAGGCTGCTCCACATCTCAGCAATGCTGAACGGGTACGTAGAAGAAAAATGTATTTTAGGGGATACTATGCTAAGATATGAGCAGTGAGACTTGATGAATCCTGCTTCCCTACAGAAAAACAGAGCAGCTTCCCGACTTGGCTACACTGAGGTCATGACTCAGCCCATGTATTCAGATACATCCTCAGACACATGCTAGCCTGGACTTAAGGCAACATCAGCCTTGAGACATGAGATTCCAGGACATGGAGAGCCATCAGGGCTCAGAACAATATCAGCATTGGAAAACAGCCCAATTCTGCAGTGAATAAATACACCAAGTGATAGGTACCTCACACAAGAAATGCAGAGATACTTGCATTCTTTTCTAGTTTAAAAGAACCTATTTAATTTGTCAGCTAATATTTTGACAGTATCAAGTAAGAACTGCATTAAAACAAGGCCTTAACATTAGAAAACGTATCATTCTTTTTGCAGAATGACAGTAGAACTTAAAACCAAATGAGAACTGAAGTCAGACTGAGGCCACTTGCAGACATCTCTTGCCTTTTCAAACCAAAATAATTTTATGAGTAATTATTTTAATAGATAGCTGGCATTTTACAGAACACCATCAGAAATACCATAGGATGATGAATGTAAGTATCAGGGGGGATAAAAAAAGGGGGAAAAAAGACACAGAAAAATCTATCGTTACCACAAGAACAGCTTAACATCCACCCAAAGTCCAAATTTGCATTTTTTAAACAAGTAATTACAGTGGTTTACAACCACACTGGATTAGTTTCTGGTTAGACCAGATTACTCATGATTTAAAATTTCCAGATTTGTTAATGGCTATAACAGAAGCTGCTGCATCATATTACTATAAGAAACTGAGCTTACACCTAAAATGCTTTCAGGACGATGCTAAAGTTGGCGCACTACAGCATTAAGCCCAACTGAACAAAAACGTACACTGCACTGAGGACAGAGCTGGATTTCCAAAAATTTTTCTCATCTTTCACTCATTAGTAGGACCTGAATAACAGCTTAAGGTTAGAATGGAGGAATTTCACTCCTTTTGAACAGTGATAATACGGCAACTAGAATATTGCAGAAGACAGAAGAAAATCCTGGCAAATTCAATGCAGTGAGATGGTACTTTGAGCAGTAGGTTAACTCACCTCCCTGGGATGGTTACTGCTGACTGAGAAACTTTGCACAAACAAGAGTGCTGTTCTGCACAGCACAGCATATGCTAACTCACTTAATACAGTAGGTGGGAGCTACCTTTATAAGGAGGAGACAGTCACTGTTCATTAAAAACCAAAACCAAAACTGAATTCCCCCACTTTCTTGAAGGAAAAGCTGTCTAGACAGCTAAGAAGACACTGCTCATCTGTGTATTTTCATAATTTAAATACTAATTTTTTTTGGTTGATTTGTTTTTTTTGCTGTAGTTACAAAGTCCAGTTTTTGCCCCAAATTAGCAAGCATTTTATTGCTATGATAAGAAGACATCAGCACACTACTTGTCTGGAGACACTGCTTGTGTGGCTCCAGCAACAAAATAGGAGAAATGTCATTAATCTAGACTTCGGTGGTCCCTCTTAGTGAAAGCAGTAGTCAGAGAACCATTTTCACCACTGATGACAAGCTGGTATTGAAAAGCAAGAGAGAAGACAGCAACTGATGCCTCTGCCTCTTGTTGCTTATGTCACCTGGGGTAGCAAGTTAAACCTCACAGCCTAGAAGCAATAAACTGGCTATGGCAAGTGACAGAGTTCAGATGCCTCCATAATTTGCTCTTAGAGCAGCTCTCTGTACAACGACCAGAAAGGCAACAAATCCAATCCTTCTCCATTACAAGGCTAAACCCATGGCAGGACAATTTCCTCATCTTGAAACATTTAGGCTACCAGAAAGAAAAGGAAAATGGGTAGTGGATGACCTGAAGATTATCATTTACAGTTTTACAGCAACCTCAAATACCATTAAAACAAAACAACTTCTATTCCCTTATTGCTTGGAAGAGACTGGGACTGTTACGTCTGTGGTTGTGGACTGTTTCAGTATTATCCAACTGCATAAACGAAACTAGTGTCAAAATTAAGTTTTAAATGGCTTGAGGTTTATAGGAATTAAAGAAGGAAAAATTAAATTTGAAACTCTGCTTGTTTACTAGCACTAATTAAATATGCCAGATTTCTGGGCAAGCTTCCTAGCCTGTGGCTACTACGTTACTGGCTTGTAAAACAGTCAACAAGTACATGAGTACAAAGCACAAATACAATAACAGAGATTTCGTGTACGGTCCTGCCCTTAGTTTATAAAGAAAAAATGTATCAGAAATAATCTGTAACTATAAAGACCTGTGCTAACCCTCTAGACTATATTAGTAATATAAAAAAGGGCCAAGTCTACGATGGTTGCTTTTGCAGAGAACAGCGCAAAAAAAAAAAAAAATCAGAGAGGTAAGAAGCAATATGCACAATCAAAATGAACAGGAAGCCTTAAAAGGCTAGTTAACTTCTAAAAATCCCACGTTTCTGGGCTCTGCTATCAAAATAATTTGCTATTAAAAATAAAAGGGATTTTTTGCACTTCTACAGAAGAAGTGGGTCTGATTAAAATAGTATCACAA